GCTCCCTGGTTTGCCGATTGATTAAAGCCGAGTTTGAACTCTGACTGATCAGATCGGAAGATTGCCTCTTCCATGATGCATCCCTGAAGCCATCTGGGGCTCGGGCGATGGACGCCAAGGGTCCATTGAGAGGTGGTGGAGCCGCTCCATCGTCCACGGACCAAATCTGACAGTGACGAGCGCGGGCGAGCCACACCACACCAAAACTATGTAACCAGCCGCGGCAAAAACGTCATACACGAAGGGTACGCCTATCATCATTGGCGTGTGATGGTGCGCGCGGCGTTCCGTGGTGTCGACCGAAGGCAGAGAAGAGACGGACTACTTCCCGTTGAAACCCATTTGCGGCTCATTTTTTTTTCTCCCCTGTCTCTCATTATCTCTCGTTCATCGCCGGCCAAGGTTCAAGCGTTTCTTCCAATGACGTTAGCCGTCCACAGCCAAATGGGGAAAAGGCGACAAGCAAGAGGGAAAAACTCTACACGGCGAGCCGAGGCCACCATGAGCCTTCTTCTCTCCTCGGTAGCACTGGCAGGCCGCAGATGTCCTTCTGTTGGTCCCATCTCTGCCATCCCTCCAGCCTCCAGGCAAACCAATTCCGTCCAAAAGCTCCAGCTGGTCCCAAGCAAGCCGGGCCCGGCGTTGTTCTTGGTCTGCTTCGTAACGGGACTTTCGCCTCTTTCCCCGCAGTTGGTTACTCGAAACTGGACAAATGAGATGAAAGGTGGGAGGGCGGGTGCAACGTAGTGGAGGGGAACCAGGTCAGCGATGTGAACAATGGTTTGTCGGTCTTGTCCCGTTTTTGACAAGACGATGAGCGCGATGGTCGGGCAGGGGGTGTCAATGGTGTTCTTTTCGAAACGCATGCAGGTCGGCAAATGGTTTGGAGCCATTGCCTATGGGTTCATGGTCCATGGGGGAAGAGGTTTCTGCCATTGCTGGATAGGCAATACCTAGCCATTCGGCATGGCCCAGAAAGAGAAGACTCTCTTGACTCTTTGGACCACGTATCCGCAAGAGTCCAGACTCTTGATCGGAATGACTGGCAGATTAGTCTGTTGGTTCGTTCGTTCGTTCGGCCACTGCTTCTAGCGTTGGCGTTGGAATCTCGTCGCAATTGTCGCCTGTGGTTGGTCGGTCGCCCGCGGCGCCGAATCCCATTTGCCGCTGAATATGGCCTTTAAGACAACGAACATGGACATGCCCTGGTGCCCTCGTTGGAATGGGGTCGCAAAGATCCCCCCGGCCCGGCGTCCTTGCCTTTTCCATGCTGAAAATGTGTCACCTGTTCGTGTGCGCAAAATAGCATCAGCAGCAACTAGCAGCAGAACCAGTAGCAAACGCCAAAGGAGAAAAAAGACCCAGCCAGCAAACCAGAGGCGCAGGCACCGCACGCGGGCGCGGAGGTGGCCGCTGCATCCTCCTCCCGTCCCAGCTCTAGCCCATGTAGGCAAGGCCACCAGCCCATCTACTTTTCTGCTCGACCAGTGACCTGCATGCCTGCCAAGGTGCTTGGTCTAGTTCGTAGAGAAACTCGACGACTCGAGGTAGCTTGCCGTCTTTGCTCGTAGTCGACCCCGCTTTCTGGGGCGAGCCTCGGGCCACCGGTGCTTCATAAAGAGATAAAAGCCCGGCATACGGCCGGACCCACCGATGCCTCCGTGGGAGCTCGCCGACGCAGACCGAAACTGCTGCTGTTGCAGTGCGACCTGGAATGACATCAGCCCCATCACGAGGTGATCCGGCCCCCGTCCTCCTCCACTTTTGCTCGCTGCTCACGGCCGACGTTGCTTGCCAATGTCGAACAATGACCGAAGTAACTCGGGGCATCCACCCCGAAACATTGCTTCCCCAAATTTCTCGCATGCTTACTCCCGAGTCCGTACGCATACCTATCAAGTTACCAACAACTTACCAAACAACCTAAATGGCTAGTATGCCAGTCAGCTGTCAAGGTAGTAGTCAGTCTACTATGGATACCCGTGTAGACCAACAAGTACCTACACGCCCATGGTATCTATACGTATAGCCTCGTTCGATACCGAAGCAGTGGTACGCAGACAGATAGACTGACAGACCGACCGGTTGCTTGCATCTCTCGTTCCGGCTTCTCGCGTGGAAGGATTCGCCGGCCTGTCAGATTCTTTAGAACGCTTCCAACGCAACCCACCCCGTTTGATCCGTTCGCATTTCCCCAGTGGGGATTGGTCTTGGATCCGGGGACCCCCCCTTTGACAGTCCAGCGGTTTTTTTTCTCTCTTGACCCAAGCCCAGCTCCTTGGTGCTCATCTCGTGACATCTCCACACGATCTGGGGATGGGGTAAGAGAGATGCATGGAAATGAGGGGTAGCTCTCGAAGAAAGCTGTTTGTTCCCCATGGAGGGAGCTAACCCGACACGCCGCGTGCCCTTTTGCGTTGCGTTTCCGAGAACTGGAGCTGGCTGCTTGCTGCTGGCTGCTGAAGAGCTGGAAGTTTCCCACATGCGCGGCACCTACAAATATTTTTGTCAGCCCGTGAAACTTTAGGCTTTTGTCGTGTGTCTCTCTCACTCCCTTCTCCTCATCCCGTCCAGCAAGATACCCAAAATCGTCCGTCCCTTTCTCTTCTCTGCCGCTGCCGCGCCACGCCGTTGCCGTCTTTGAATGCTATCGTCTCTTCTCCCCAGTCGATTTAAACAAACTTCAGACAAAATGTCTCCTACTTCCGTAAACGGGGGTGCTGGCTCCAAGATCTCCTTTGTTGGTGCCATTGACCAGGGCACCACGAGCACCCGCTTCCTCATCTTCAACCCCCACGGTGAGGTCGTTGCTACTCACCAGCTCGAGTTCAAGCAGATCTACCCTAACCCAGGGTAAGTCGTTCTTCCTATGCGACCACCACTGGCGCATGAAAAGTATTGTGCAGAGTCAGAAATTAATCCCATTGCGACAGCTGGCACGAGCATGACCCCGAGGAGCTCGTTGCTTCCGTCGAGACGTGCATTGACGGCGCCGTCCAGGCTTTCGAGACTCAGGGCCACTCCCGCGAGCAGATCAAGGCTGTCGGCATCACCAACCAGAGAGAGACCACCGTCCTTTGGGATACGACCACCGGCAAGGCTCTGTACAATGCCATCGTCTGGACCGACACCCGCACCAAGGATCTCGTTCGCCGTCTGAAGCAGCGTCTCGGCGCAAGCGAGCTTACCCAGCGATGCGGTCTTCCCCTCTCCACATATCCCTCCGTCGGCAAGCTCCTTTGGCTTCTGGAGAACAGCCCTGAGGTCAAGGATGCTTACGAGCGTGGTGTTCTGGCCTTTGGTACCATTGACACCTGGTTGGTCTACAAGCTGAACGGCGGTACTGCCCGCGACGTTTACGTCTCGGATCCCTCCAACGCCTCCCGTACCATGTTCATGAACATTCACACTCTGAAATATGATGAGGACCTCATTGATTGGTTCAGAATCGACCCCAAGAAGGTCAAGCTGGCAAAGATTGTCCGTTCTTCCGACCCCGAGGCGTATGGTACGCTCCACAACACCGTTCTCAGCGGTACCAAGATCACCGGTTGCTTGGGTGATCAGTCCGCTGCTCTGGTCGGTCAGAAGGGCTTCACGGCTGGTCTCGCAAAGAACACGTATGGCACGGGTTGCTTCTTGCTCTACAATATCGGGCCCAAGCCCGTCATTTCATCCCACGGTCTCTTGACCACTGTCGCTTTCGACTTCGGCCCTGGCAAGACCATGTACGCTCTCGAGGGTTCCATTGCTGTTGCTGGATCCAGTGTCAAGTTCCTGGTCGACAACTTTGGCTTCATGGAGTCTTCCTCCAAGCTCAGCGCACTCGCCGAGACGGTTGAGGACAATGGTGGTTGCACCTTCGTCACTGCCTTCAGTGGACTCTTTGCGCCTTACTGGATCGATGATGCCCGTGGTACCATCTTCGGTATCACCGCCTACACCCAGCGTGGCCACATCGCCCGCGCCACCCTTGAGGCCACCTGCTTCCAGACCAAAGCCATTTTGGACTCCATGGAGAAGGACAGCGGTGCAGCCCTGACTGAGCTCGCCGTTGACGGTGGCATGTGCAACTCCGATCTCGTCATGCAGGTAAGAATAGAACCCCCGGACCTTTTCCGAGCCTCGGGCGGAGAAATCAAGCTGACCCATGTACTCCGTAATAGACCCAGTCCGACATCATTGGCATCCCTGTCAACCGCCCAGGCATGCGCGAGACCACTGCCCTCGGCGCGGCCATCGCGGCAGGCTTCGCTGCAGGCGTCTGGAAGAGCTTTGACGAATTGAAGGACGTCAACCTTGAGGGCCGCACCATCTTCAAGCCCCAGATCTCCGAAGAGGATGCCTCTGAGCGCTTCGGCCGCTGGGAGAAGGCTGTCCAGATGAGCAAGGGCTGGTCGAGCTGAGCGGGTATTGCCTTGGAGTTCTTCACGTGATAATGTCTTCTTTTTTTTCCGTTTCGATATACCACAGTCTGTTGTTTGGGAGGTCCATTCACAATGGGCGCACGCACATGCGATCCGGCGCCGCTTGGAGAGAAAAATCCAATCTGTATCATAGGTAGCACGGCATTATGACGCATTTTGCCTCTGTCGGAAACTCGATTTTGTGCGCCAGAAGCTGGTTCGTTTGCCCTGTTCACCGATGCAAGTCTTTGCAAGAGCGCCAAGTCGACGGCTCCAGGGAAAGCCGCGGTTGCATTGCTGTCTCGACCCGTCCCCACGTGCGCATGTTCCTTGTAAAATCCGGATGATCGGAGTGTAAATCGTCGTCCATGACCCCGTTCAAACTGAGTCGTGAAGCAGGCAGGAGCGGAATGCAGTGACTTCATCGCGATCCTCAGCCTGCTGCGCGGCCTTGTTCCGGGGGGGTATTGGCAAAAAAGACCCTCCTCTTGTTATGGGCGTTGTTAGTTGTAGGCTTGTAGCCTACCTGTCAGCCACCCGGTGACTACTGCTTCTGGGGCCTGTGGAAGAAGACATCGTCGAAGCCACTGCCGTTTACCCCCACCTTTGACGGTTGCATCGCCCCATGGATGATCCTCGCGGTAGCAGGCTTGACAGGGGAACCATAAGGAGCGGGGGAGAGAGTTCGGAGTGGCCGGGGTGCGGCGCTGTTTGCCGTGTGGAAGGGGGGTTTTCGGCAGCAAACTTGGAGAAGAAAATTGAGGGGAATTGTCTAACAGAGGCGGCGCGGTTCCTGCATGTCTTGCGGTAGTCTGTATTAGCACCGTTGTTCCGTCGTAGTGACCAGCGTGCCAGTGTCATGCCTGGTGGCTTCGGAGATGGCTCTGGTTATCGTAATCGCCCCCAAGGGTTCATCATTGGGCGCAACGATCTCCCCTCATCCGTTCCGTCCATCCCATGCCACGGGCGGATGCTGTGTGTAACGAGTTTCCGGGAAAACGAGGATGCCGGGCGCAAGTGGTTGGTTGGTTGGTGCGCATTGGCGGCACGGAGGAGTCTTCATTTCTGATACTGTACACGGTTCCGTCGTCTTCCGCAGTCTTTGTATGTAATATGTACACTCTTTCTGTCACGGTATTAGTTGGCAGCGCAGACAGACAGGACGGTCAGACCGCGTAAAGTAAGGGACAGTGACAGAGTTGCGCAAGAGATCCAACTCTTATTGTGGACGAGAGTGGGCCGACGACTGGATCTCTCTTTTTTTTCTGCCCTCCGTGCCAGCCATCTCTTCAAATGGCTTGTCGGGAGAGAACACCGAAGGACCCCGTCCCCCTCTCACACTTGGTCAGACTCAGACACTCGAGCGCTTGCTGACAAAGTCCCTCATCGCGGCCTTGGCTTCCCGAGTCTTTTCCACCTAGTCGACTAGTCAGTCCTTTTTGCCTCTCGCTGAAGACTCGGTGCTTGTCTTCCATCTCTCTCCACTTGTTCCTTCGACTTGCAGACTGCACTCTGCGGGTTCGAGCACAACACAAACTGGGTGGACTGACTGACACTGCAGCGCCTGCAGAGCTGACACCAGCACTATTCGGTACACACACAGACGGTACAGAGACTCTCTCCTGGATTCGGCTGCCCACGTTTCGCCCATCGATCCGGCCAACCAACGCGGACAAGGCCGGATATGCCCCATGCGCCCCAAGGTGCTGCGGTGCAATCCTTCACTCCCTCCAGCATCCCGGCCGGCTGAGGCAATTCGCTAGCCTGCCTTTTACTGCTTGCTGCACGCCCGCTCATGAGTGAAATGACCACTTCCTGACATCAAATTCGGCCAGGCTCCTCACGGCTCCATCCAAAAAGGGTCCTGATAAGAGCAACACCTTCGCAGCCCATCAAAGTAAAAACGGGAAATGTGGAGTTCCCACGACCATGGGACAGATATGCTAGACACGAATGCACGTCCGCAACAAATGGCCGAGGAGGAAGCGAACTCGGTGTTCAGCCACGACGAGGGCTCAAGTGGTGAAGACACGACAAACAATGGCTCGGCCGGTGCACCGAGGAAGCGTAAGAGGGAGAAGCACCAAAAGACATCGTATGTTGTGCGCTTCTGATTGTGTGGCCCCCCAAATGAGATGCATGGCCATCGACTGACGCGAATCCAGATGCGAACTATGCAAGGCGAGGAAGGTCAAGTGCGATCGTGCAGAGCCCGCATGTTCTTGGTGTGCCCGTCACAACCGAACATGCGTCTATCTAGAAAGACAGAAGCCGGGTAGCCGTATCGGTTTCAGTCTCGAACTTGAGGCCAAGGTCAACAGGCTCGATGCTCTCTTGCAGGCTCTTGGCCGTCGCGTAGAAGATCACATCGCCCATGATCACGTCGCCACATCACAGGCTCATTCGCCATCCATCAGCAATCAGGCGCCATCACAAATCGAGGGATTCCGTCCTGATGGAAACGCGAATGGCGTCAGTCCGGCTCCCGGCCTTGCAAGAGGGCCACCAACCACGAATGGAAGGACACCAGCCTTCTCGAGCCCTTTCTGGCAGGGCGGTGACGCCCAAGAGACGTTACAGAATGGTGACCGGACTTCAGTTCAGGCTCTCTTGAACCTATCCGCAGGCGAGTCTTTCAGCCAAGCAGGCGCATCGCCGAGCGTCAACGGGCCTCGAAAAGATGCATCTTCAGTCCCGACTGTCTCTGAGTTCCCGCCTCACGACATGCTGTACACGCTTGTCGACCTATACTTCAAACACTGCAACACGTGGTGTCCGATCTTGGACCGCAAAACGACCTTCGGTGCCTTTTTTGGTTCGACGTCCCTCAACGAAGCCGATCGTGTTTTGTTACATGCTATAGTAGCAACGACACTAAGGTTCATGAAAGACCCGCGGCTGTCGCCCGACATGCGGTCACACTACCATGCAGTGTCGAAACATAGGGTGCAGATATATGCGATGGAGAACGTGAGCATTGCCGCGTTGAGGGCTTTGGTGATACTCTGCTTGGACGAGTTGGGAACCTCAAATGGGCCGCGCGGTTGGAACATGCTCGCGTTGCTCTCGCAGAATGTGAGACAACTGGAACTCTGTGAAGAGAGCAGCGTGTATCTCACGGCCGAGGCAGAGGAGACGCCGCACACGGGCTCGATCCGTCGGGTGGCGATGGGCCGACCAGAATCTTGGATTGAAGATGAGGGCCGTCGACGGCTTTGCTGGATGGTTTATCTCCTTGATCGATACGCGACGATAGCGACAACGACATTCGACTTCATGCTCGACGACAAAAAGATGAAGCGCGGTTTGCCGTGTTCATACGACCTCTTTTCGAGAAACGTTCCCGTTGAGACGAAGTCATGGAGTCCGTCATCCGACCAAACCGGCAGCCCGACCATCAATAAACCCGAAAACCTCGGCAGTTTCTCGTACCACTGCGAGATCCTGCGTATACTGAGCAAGGTCCACGACTTTCTCAAAACACCCATAGACGTAACATCGTCGTCGGAAATGGCGGTTTGGCGGAACACATATAGATCGCTGGACGGTGCGCTCGACAGCTGGTTGCAGAGCTTGCCGAGCGAGTACAGCAGAATTTCGGCTCTGTGCCACTCAGATCCCGCGAGCCGCGTCGCCAACTGGTTCATGCTGCATAGCGCATATGTCACGTCTGTGGTGCGTCTGCATTCCTCGGCTGCGTACCCCACTGTGAGATCTCACATTTTCGTCCCATCGCACTATGCCATGCAGAGGTGCTTGTCTGCCGTGCAAAGTCTCGGCGATATTGCGCAGGACGTCTTTGAGGCCAACGGCCTGGATCTCTTGGGGCCGCCATTCGCCTTTTCGTTGTGGGTAGCCGCTAGGTTGCTGCTTATCCACGCTGCGACTGTTGGGTGTCCCGTTGATCCCAAGATTGACTTTTTTATCGAAACGCTTCGCCATGTTGGACAGTACTGGGAGGTCGCAAACAATTACGCCAAAATTCTTGCTCGGGTGGTACATCGAGGGCGACAGGGCGACATGAGCTTTACCGCGATGAGGAAGTGAGTAATACCATATGATGTCTTACCACCCCCGGGACCGTACTAACAGCAATGCCTCAGGAGTGCCCACGATCTGGTAACCTTGACATCCTCCACACGACGCTCTGGCATGGAGCCGACATCGACTCAAGTGACTTCGTTGAGCGAACTTGACAACATTGACGTTTTCGACTTTTTCAATTATCCCAAGATGTCTGAGCCGAGCTCACGGGCGACCAATGGTCAGACGAATTTACTACAGCCACAAGTGATGAGCGGGTTAGGCGGCGATTCCATGAGGACGACCGGGGTACCAGATCCAGAGTCGGATTGGCTGGGCTTCAGCACTCCCTTCAACTGAGGCTGGGGCTGAGGTCGACGCTGCGGGTTGGTTGTCCCTGTTTTGTTCCCTTGACATATCGAAATATTGTTTCCACTTTTAGACCGCAAATATCATGGAAGCTGGGCCGGCGCTGGAGGCTTTGAGGAACCTGGTTGAGGCGTTCGTGGGGCGTTGTAGTACTTCATTGATGGATCTCGTGTGGCTTCGCGATACAGCCGCAAGGAAAGCTGGCAGATCGACCCAATTGAAACTGCTGATCCCCGCACAAGCTGAGGAGCTTCGATCCACTGTGACTGGCTCAGCCACAGACAGCGTCCGTGTGTGCCATGACGTTCGTTGAAACGCTGTTCCTGGTTCTCCCCCATCTTCTTCAACCTCGATTCTTCTTCAGACTTTGGCAAGCGCATCAATTGTGAAAAACGACTGAACCAATCTCTTCAGATATTTTGAGCAAATTTGAATTGATCATGGCGCCAAACCAAGGCCTTGTGCATCCGACTGAGTACGACATCAAGGACAGCAATGTCGAGCTCATTGGCACGGACATTGACCACCAAGTGAAGTACAACTCTGCTGCTACCGAGCCAGCTTGGAATGAAGGCGATGTTGGCCAAGCCGCTGGGCTTCATGTCTGGCGTATCGAGGAGTTCGAGGTCAAGCCATGGCCTAAGGAGAAGTATGGTCAGTTTATGGATGGCGACAGCTACATCGTCCTCAACTCGTACAAGGTTGGGAGCAAAGATGACGCCGAGAAGCTTGGTCATGACATCTTCTTCTGGCTCGGTGCCCACACATCGCAGGACGAGGCCGGTACCGCTGCGTATAAGACGGTCGAGCTCGATGAGTTCCTGCACGGGGCCGCGACGCAGCATCGTGAGCTACAGTCGGCGCCGTCTGATGAGTTCCTAGAGCTCTTCCCTCGCATCCAAATTCGCTCTGGAGGGGTAAGATCTGGCTTCCGTCATGTCGAAGACGAGGAGCCCAAGGAGGAGATTCTCACTCTGTTGCGCATCTTCAAGAACCCGTCAGTCGGTGCCAACGGCGTTGTTGTACACGAAGTCGAGCCAACGTGGAAAAGCTTGGACGAGGACGACGTGTTTGTGCTCGACACAGGCGACAAGATTTGGCAGTGGCAGGGCAAGAGCTGCAGTCCGATGGAGAAGGCCAAAGCTGCTCAGGTTGTCAACGACATGACGCTGGCGAAGCACATCGACGTCGAGGTTCTGGCCCAAGAAGAATCGAGATCTCGCGTTATCGTCACCCTTCTCGGAGGTGACGATGATACGCCTCAGTCTGGCTTCCACTGCCCCAGACCAGTTCGATCAGCATCCAAGGCACACGCCGGCGAGCGACCTCAGAAGCTTTTTCGCCTCAGCGATGCTTCCGGGGAGCTCAGATTCGACCTCGTCAAGGATGGCAGCAAGGCTGCTCTCTCGGACTTTGAAGAGCAAGACGTGTTCCTCTTGGATGACGCGGGCCGAGCCGTTTGGGTGTGGGAAGGACAGGGTGCAAGCCGGGGAGAGAAGGCCAACTGGCTCAGAGTTGCCCAGGCGTATGTTCGCCAATTGCAGGGGACTTCTGAGGCCGATGAGGCTCATCTCACACCTGTCGCCAAGGTGACTCAGGGCAACGAGAGCAGGGCGTTCTTGAAGGCCGTGGCAGTTTGATGGGTACTGCATCGCATGAATACGAAAAGGAAGGGCTCGTGGGTCTCTGGCTAGCCGCGAGGTTTAAGATGTAGATCATCTCGAATAAGAGTCTTGCGTCGTTCGTGTACTGCCCAGCCAATTGAAGTGGCCATTACCTCGGGTACACTCTGCTGATGCCTCTGCGAACATGTGATGTCGATACTGTATTCAACAAGACCAATTGACTACAAGAGATGGGCAATGACAATTGATGCAATGTGCAGTTTGAACAGAGGTGTCGTCAACGTAGATGGGATTGGAGGGGCAGCGGAGGACGGAGCTTGTGATCCAGGAAGGGCCAGGCAAGGCAGGAAGTCACGCGTCGTCCTGCCTGCTTCCAAGCTTGACATGTGCCTGCCTCGTCCTTGCCAGATAGAGGGCGATCGGCCATCGTCAGCAGGAACACCACAAACAGCAAGCGCTAATGCAGCTCCAGGCAGGAACAAGACGGAAAATGCATTTTTTTCCAGCTTCCATGGCACCGACACCTCCAGGCACTCTCCTTCCTCCCGTTGAATGCCGGAAGAGACTGCTCTTTCCCATGCACTTGGAGCGGCAGTCGTCTTTCCTTGGCAGGGGATCCTGAGATGAGCTGCGATCCAGTGCTACTTGGATGGGCCTGACGATGGTCTTTGTCGTCCATGCCAGTAAGCTAGGAATTATAAGTACTAGCAGGCTAACATCGGTAGAAAGACGCCACGAGTACTTTGTTATGGAATACATAGACGGCTGGCGGGGATAGTCACATGCGGTAGCTGTAGCAGAATTAAAAGCATAAACGAATGCTCAATTACAGAAGCAGACCAAAGTCGTCCGACTATGGAATCTATGGTATCTTTCCCTTTCCATGAACGCCTCTCGACTATTATCCGCCTGCGATTAGTTCTCCGTCATTTCGGCGTCTTCTCTGTAGCCACGGGCGGTCAACGCCAACGCGACGAAGAATGGACTCTGACCCTGCCGTACCACATCCACCCTTTGCCAGTCACACACGTATTCCGTTCCGCCTTGCGTTTCCCATATGCCTGACGAGGTCAATCGTCTTACTTTCCGCCGTACTGGCTCATAATTCTTGCGATATTCTCCGCGGCTCTAGCCTGGTGGCGCGCCTCACTGGCCGCAACGTCCTCGCTTCGGAATGCGGCGCCATACGCGGTGGGTTCGTCGGAAGCCGGTTGGTTCTGGTACATCGAAGTTCGTCGTTGGGCGAGCTCTTTCTTGGATTCCTTTGACGAGTGCTTGTGTGATCCCTTCGAGGAGGAATGGCTAGAACCCATTGGATTAGTACATCAAGCCTGACGCGCATCTTCTCCCATCACACCCATCGCCCGGGACCGGATCATGTACCCGCTGTAAGCTGACTGTTCAGAATGCGCCATGTTTGCCTGTGGGAAGGATGGGCAGTGTGCGCAAAGTTGTGGACGTAAATCGTGAATGACTGATCTTCAAAGAACCAGGTAGCTAGCTGTTCGTGAGGTTCCGAATCTGACCGTTGTTGTGTGAAGTGTGCAGGTTCCTCAGGATCCAACTTGGCAGGTTTAAATACGGCCAGCGTGCAAAGCGCGCGAACCATTGCTTTCCAAATTTCGAGGTTTGAAGGAGACATAATACACTTCCGACCCTTGCATGGCTGAGCTTGGCCTAGGGGAACAGCGAGTGCCTTTGCAATGGGTTGCGTCAGGTGGAATGCGGCCGTTCAACGAATAGAAGGCTCAAACGGATACCCGACACCAAAGTCGATGGAGTCGGCTCAATTACGATGCCGCAGTATGGGCAGTAACGTTGAGGGACGGCGTGGCATTCGAATCGAGGGAGCAGGTCTCCGGCAGGGGGGCGAGGTTGCCGAAGGATTCAATCCTGTGGTCCAATCGTTGTCTTGTTCCTGTTAGTCCCCTTCAGCCTGGTAAGGCGTCCCAGTCTATTCCGCCCCCACCCCAAGCACAAGATGGGCCCCACAGGTTGAATGTTCGTAAGCAGGGTACCGGTGTTCCTGAAAAGACAGTGAAGTCGAAATCTCGAGTTGTTGTGGTTCCAATGAGTTGCAGCTCACGCATCGTACTGTCTGTGAAGTAAGTAGATAGCGGTGGTCGTAATAGCATCCTCAACCTCAAGCACGGATGCTCAAGCTCTCTGGTGCGATGAGCGTGAGCACTGAATGCTTTCCCAGAGGTTTGGTAATGTCAAGTATCTGACATGAGGTGTATCTTTCGCTTGAAAGAACCATCAACATCGGTCGCCCAAGCCGCGTGGACACCTTTGAAGATCTTTCGCATTGTAAGTTGTCTGCAACGAAGCTGGAGCATTGCCAAGGCCGGTCCAGACCAAGTTGATCGTAACTTGCAATGACGAAATCCATTCGTCCGGCTAAAGCAGCCAGGTAGGAGGCTGATGCGCAAAACGAAAGGCCATCGAGTGTGCTACACTTGACTTCAAGCTCTTCGATCTCTCAGGCGTCCCACTGGACGACCGAAAGTCCCGTGCATGAGCCTGTAAGTCGCAGGTGTGCGGGATGAAAGATGCTTCCTATTCGAGATTAATCACTGATTACGGTTATTGGCTGTGATGTGAACGAAGACCTGCCAACTTTGGCGATCGGGCGTTGGGACTGTGTGACTTGAGAGGGATTGGGAGGGGAGGCTCCTGAGGTGAGCTCCTGCAAATAGAAGTGGAAAAAGCTCCACGGGCAGCGCAGATTGGATGTAAGCGCTATCTAATGCGATGAGCCTACTCTCGTTGATGTGGCGCATAAATCTGCCTTGCCGAGAGTGAATGAGATCCAATCGTCGATGAGGTGGTGATGAGAATGATGTGTTGGGAAAAAGGGGGCGCTTCCAGGTTCCAGATGATGCAACGTGACGCAGGCAAGAGGCCTCCGCGCGGGGCTTGCAGCTGGTCGCCAGCCGCCTCGTTCGCTGCCTCGCGATGCCTTATCCAAGGCATCCGTGGTTCGCAATCTGAGAAAGGCGTCCGAATTGCCTCGTTTGAAGAAATTTGTCCGCCGATGGGTCGCCCAAAACATTGGTCGCCTCGCGATTTCGGTGGCTGCCTGGCCATGTGTTGCCGGGTGCTCTCAGGTGGTCTTGCTGAACCGGAAATATCGAGCTTGACGAAGCGAGAAGATTGTGGTGAAAGTCGTAAAACTGTTCGAAGACCAGTTTGATCAGAATCGGCAGGAAGTCTGTTTGTAGGTCTTGTCCAAAGTATGGCGTTCGGTAGAATATGGTCGATTTGGCGAATTGGAATTGGGGGCCGAAAGAGTTCATTCAGAGCCCAAATTAAGAGGGAGGGGGACGGGAATGGGCAGACGTATATGTAGGGCTGACCCAAAAGCATGGAGTAATGCCAAAGACGAAAGAATCCAGGTTTCCGGGAAAGAAGTCCTAGAACAAGATTCCGTAGACGTGGGATGGGATTCTCGAGGACTTAAATGAAGATGGCATCAGGACTTTACGTCTCATCAGCGCGAGAGTTCACATCCGGTTGGCTACGGCTGTGCGCATGTATCCCTGGTGTGATGTGCTCCGCCCGACGGTCATCTTTATTGGCTCGAGTACGGGATTCCTCCAGGCAGCAGGGCTTTCCCTTTCAAAACAATCCAATCAAGGCACGAAGCATCCCCTCAGCCCTATACACTTGTCGCACACCAACCAATCAGTCAGCGAGTGATACCCTGGCCCGCGAGCACTGAGGTTTGAGCACCTCTCTCTCCCGTTATCTCTGCAACTCTGCATGACAATGTGGCTGGCTGCATTTACCCCATTGATTGCACTTGGTAAATTCACTGGCACGGTATAGCTTGATATAAGGCAAGGCAAGGTAAGTCGAGGCAAGGCACCTTGGAAAGTACGACCGAGCAGCAGCCCGGCTCCCCGATAACCATGCCGAGATCTTTGGGGGCCACGCTTTGCCTGAAAGGGCATGGATAAACAGGTACTCGAAGGGAAGATATAAATCTGACTGTCATGAGCGGGGTGTTGAAAAGATTATAGAAGATCGAACAAACAAGCCATTGTCTTCTTTCTTTGAGTAAGGTCTTGAAAATGTCATGTTGATCAAAGTGCTTGTAGGTAGAAGCCCGGTGGTGGCCGACGCCCCATAATAATATCGGCCCCACTCAAGTGCCGAAAGTGGATTGCCCGTGCCGGCCTCGCCAACTGCAGTAAGACGGTAGGCACCTGACTGTGTTCTTCAGGTCCGGTTGCCCCCAAGCTTACATAAGATCAGACACTGAAGGCAACTGAGGTGCCTTATGCTAAGGTTCCCAAGGGATTCTAAGGTAGGCACAACAATCAAGAGCAGCCTAAGCCTGCAGTGTTCCCTCCTGAAGCTTTCCCCTTGATACGCACGTGTCCTTGGGTTCACCCTTCTAAGCGTCTCGAGCACTACACCTGACATCACCTTTCAGGGAAACACATGGCCGCTTAGGCGTTTATGCTTTTATCAGCGCGTAAGGTAGCTGGAGTAGACAATCTTAACGTGAATCTATCCGCCTTTTCGAACTAGCAAGTTACAGCATAGCCAAACGAACGTAAGGCGGTGAGAATGCAGAAGCCAAAGTCAGAGCTCACGGGGTTGGGTGGTCGCTACTCATCTACCAACCACTCATCTTGTGGTGGTCTAAACCTGTAGTCTAGCACCTAAAGCTACTGTTCGTCCCCTACACCTTTTCCAAACCCTGATGAACGCCTTGTTTACATATACCCCAATATACGACTGATCGGAATGCGACGCGACGCTGAACCTTCGATCTCCTTCAAATCTGGACCAATGATGCTATCTACTGCAATTATTTCCCATACATATACCGGTAGCCGACCTCAGGATACCAGTATCGCGAGCTTTTCGTCCCGTCTCTGGAAACAATGAATTCACAGCATCTGTCAGGAAGAGCTGCCATCAAATCGACCAGTAAACTTGACCAAATCCGCGGCAATTCTGCCCATATGTCGCGCGGCGCTGGCGCTCATATCGGCGTTCTGGTATGCGACGCGATAGATATTGCTATCTTCAGAAGGCGCCTGATTCCGATAGGCATTCAGCTGTTGGCTGGGGAGGCTTCTCTGCGACTCTGCTGTTGAATGCGCGTGTGCCGATTTGCGCTCGGAACCACTGCAGTAAGCTGATCAGTAAAACGCATGTTTAAATCTTATAAGCGGTGCGGAAAGCTTCAAGCACCAAACAACATGAGAAATGGTAGCTTTACCTGTGACAGACTGATTTCCCGGCGTTCAAGTCCATCTTGATCTCAAGTCGATACTCGCTCTATGGCAGTTGAAATATTGGTAGATTATGCTTGCTAGAAGCTGACTGAGTCGCCGAACACCGCGAGCGTAGCGCTTGCTTCGCAAACATTGCAAGAAGAGCTTTCTTTGGCCCCAAAAGTTTCCCTCATTAAATACTGATTTGAATCTCCGGTCAACGGCGAATGGGTAACCAACGGTCAGGAAACGCAGTGGTCCTAGTCACATCCTGATTCCCTCCTCATCAAGACGACCAAGTGCTATGCGAGCTCCAGACAGAAAGAAGCCAGATGATACGACAACCTCTCAGAAAGGTGGAATCCCTCATGCGTGCCAGACTACATTTGCGGGGCAGATGCCTTCGAACTCGGACGTAGCGGGGTTCGGCCGCCTAAGGGGACTACCTCTTTGGCAAGTTTCAGTGACAGTATCTGTACGATTCGAGGCACAGTAGGAAAGCCCCCGGTCGCTGTGTATGATTGGGTCCAGCCACGATCTCGGTATCGATCAGACTGTCAATGTAAAAAATAACACAGTTCATGCACTGTTTCTTTCCTAAACCATCTTCCGACATGATTATCCTGCCGAGACAGAAGGACTAGCCTCGTCAATCAACATCAAGATTGGACATATCTCAGGAGCGCCACAGACTCACACATAGACATGTTGATGCAATGTTCAGTTTTTGGTGGAAACGGTCGCATGCAAGGCGCCGAATTGGTCGCGCAGTTGAATCCATCTTTTCCCCGTCTAAGGATTTCAGTATGTATCTACGTCTCAGAACGGAACCATCGCAGCTATGAGTCAATCCACCATGTACTTATTTTGCTATTCGCGCGTGCTCCCGCTTCCTTCACTTGGGGATCCAATGGGCAGGCGAGGCAACTAGACTGGTTTCTAAGTTCACAGGTCACCTCGACTGCTAGATTATTCAGGCCTCATGATACGCGAACTCACTAACGTCAGCACCCTTAGTCGCATGTCGATGACATGAAGGACCAAGCCAGTCAGCAGCTGGGCAGACTCAGCGACTTCCGAACGAAGGCAGTGTCGCTGCCGGGGCCACAAAATTTGACGAAATTGGGAAATAAACGTCCTTGAAGAAAGAGAGGAGGGTGATCCTTTCATCGAACATTATCATGGAGTCAAAGGTCATCAGAAACATTTGATTTAGTGCCTTATGCCACCTTCACTCAAGACGATCTTGAGAGCCGTGATACATCCCATTCTAAGTCCAAGTGATGCCTTGCAACTCACACATCCAATCCGAATGCCCAGGCTCATACACATCAGTAGGCCCATATTCGCCCCCCTCCGCCGCATCCATGTTGCAAACATTGACATTAAAGTTACACAACTGCACCGGCTCCAAGCCAACACCCTTCTCCGACACAGTCTCCCACGGGTTCGTCAGCTGTTCATAATCATGCTTATCAAAGCAGTCCGCAGGCCCCTTCAAGATCTCCTCCTTGGTAAGCCCATACGTCTGGATGAGCTTCTCTGCTAGCCGGTGTTCGGGCACATCATCATCGCTATCGCGCCTCTGGAATCGCCACTCAGTCCACTTGCTATTCGCCTCCTGCCTGCATAGGATAGCGGCAGACGAGTCATCGCACGCCGTCTTGTTGAAAGTGCGGATAATGTACACGTTCTGCGCCTGCATCAGCAGCGCCATGGCGTTCACGCTGACAGTCTTGTACATCCACGTGTCGAAATCATCCTGCGTGATGTTCGTCTGGCGAGAGAGGAAGCCGCCGCCGCTCAAGACCTTGTTGATACCCCACGTCGGATCGTCAATGGGCGCGTCAATGACCTTTTTCGCGTACGTCCCGATCGCCTGCTTGTACTCGTCGACTTTGCCGCCCATCTGGCTCGACAGGTCGCTCCATCGCAGAAACTGGCCGCCCGCGCTTGGCGCGAGCATCATACCGCCCGCAATGATGTTGCCTCCCTGGACTGTGCTAGCGATGCTGCCCGCGGTGGCGCCGAGGGCTGCTGTGGTTGGGAAGGCGTTCAGGATTCCGTTGACCCATGCCAGGAACTGCTTCATGGGAGTTACGTTGTCTTTCTTTGCCGGCCATAAGTCGTCGACCACCTTTGCGAGCTTCAGGCTTAGGATGGTGGCGGCGTAGGTTACGGCGAGGTTGAGGTTGTTGACATAGTTGTTCCAGCCTTGGATACCCATCAAGGCGTACCTTGCGTAACTCGTTAGTACAGAGAAGAGTAATGGGATAGAAGCAGAACACATGGCTTACCACCCAGGTAAAGTGACCGGTGTACACGGTTGACCGGCATTGCACCACAGGTTGACCCCGCAAAAGAAGTTGGGGGCACCTAAGTATGCTCCTAGAGCTTGCACATTGTCGGAAGAGTACTCCGTATAATGTTTCGCGGCGTTAGCGAGGAAGTTGTCTACGCCCTCCTTCTTCCATGTATCGCTCGAGAGTTGGCTAGGCACGCAGTTTGCACGCGGGCTCACGACTGAGAGCAAGTCGGAGCCAGGACTAGACGGCGCCGCGTCCACATAGACACTCAAATACCCAGCGTATAACGCCAGTAAAGATCGGACGTGCATGAGAGGCTACTATGTCTCGAGAATGAACTGCCAGCAGTTACTCTTGGTAAGACTGATACAAAGGCTAGGGGTGTCTGGAGGTCGGCGCAGAGCAGCTGGTCAATATACACTGAAAGACAAAAAATATGATGATGGGCAGTGAGGCTCATCGAGGCAAGTTCTCGGTGTCCAAGTGAGACATATAAGCATCTTGAAGTCGAAACAATCAGTCTCCATGTTTGCCGGGCAAGCTGTTTCCTGGACCGTGCTGTCTGTCGTCAAAATTGGCAAGCATCATTGCGTGATAAGGTGCAATCGAGCAAGGACCTCCCTTCATCTAATTAGACTTTGTTACGATACCATTGATGATGATTGACTTCAACACGAATCGGATATCAGGTCAAAAACTGGTAAGATAAAGACACTTTTGCGTGGTTAATGAGAGTCGGTCAATGTTGTGATAGATAAAGTTCCCACTAAGCTTGGATCACTATGGGTCAGGCTCGGCGTTGCCGCTTGGTTCATGTTTCCCCATTCGAGGATCTTCTGGGCAGTATTAGTGTAGATCCCTCTTTCAAGGTTTGCAGGAAGTCTGCCAGGAATAATATAAAGAAATTGATAGGACTGTAAGCAACTCATTCAACCACTTGGCTCCGCTATGGCGATAGCCACTGAGTACACAATTGGCTCTTTGGTATAGTCGAGCATCTAGTCGTTCTATTGCTCGCAGATACCTATATCTCTAAGCGACTGAGATGTGATTATAGAATTAAGACGTTATATTTCAACTCGATAACGTTGCCTTTTTCAGACAGCGTATTACAACAACAAAAAGACATTCAACGCATACGCAATCGACATTGAAGCCAAAGACTCGACGCAACCAGCGCCTCTCTCTCTTCCCTCCATCTTCACAGAACCCAAACCCATCGCAAACCCACCATGAAGTTCTCCATACCCCTCCTCCTCGCCGCCTTCGCCACACAAGCCCTCGGCGACAGACACCACTTCTGCTGGTGCGGAAGCGACCAAGTCCCCAAATCAGACCCCTGCCTGACACAAGCCGCCTGCGCCAAATACCCGCAAGACAAGTTCTTCGGCGTCAAGGGCGGCGACCCGTCCGCGCCGACGATATCGAAATGGAGCGAGAAGAAGGCAAAGTGCTACAGCACGCGCGCGTGGCCCGTGATTCCGCATCCCTTTCTCGGCGGGAACGAGTTTGAGGATGCGTGCTTTGCTGCCGCGGCGGATCAGGCTGTTGTCGATGCGTGTGGCGTTTCGCCTGGGAGCAGGACGGGGGTGAAGTCGTATTGCTCTGAGCCTTTTGACTGAGGGAATGTTTGCTGGGTTTGGTGAGTGAGCTCTCTTCTTGAAGTCTCAACTGTTGAGGAAGTCTTGGGCGATCTACGTGAGTGGATGTTGACACTTGCTAACTTTTGCCAATACCAGTCCTCCGCGAGTCTACGAGCGAGATTTGAATAACGGGGTCGATCGCCTCGATGCTTTGGCGTTAATCGGATCCAAGAGAGGAATGTATTGATAGAACTGGAAATTAACTATAGATCTCTTGTGTAAATCATGGTTTGGATTGAGTCCAGATATTTCTATCGTCTTTTATATATAGCCTTGACGATCATACAAAATTGAACAACGGAAATGCGATTATCTGCCCGATTACGAGAAGTCAATCATCGGCAGGGACCAAGGTCTCAACTGTCCGCAAAAAAAAAAAAAAAAAAAAAAAAAAGCGTGCGATAGACGCGTCTATGGAGAATCAGTTCGACTGGCACCTTCAGGAGAGAGCCTCAATTCAACTATTGCCCTCATCATCAAGTCACAAAGCTGATGCCGCCGCACCGAAAGGTGAAGCTTCGCGGGCCAGCCGTCCCCAGCTGCAAACTGCACGTCACCACCCCGCCAATCAAGCCCCGGCCCACACCCCCTACTCCACATTCCTTTATAAGCCATCAACTTTCTCTCACATTTTGCCTTCGGGCATTTGGTCAATTTGAAACGATACAGAGAAGATGTAAGCACCATCCCTATACCCCTCGAGTTCGAGTCTGGAAACTGTCACTAACTTTCCTCGCAGTAGCATGGCCCCTGCACTAAGGATGACACGCTCAATCAAAGAGAAGCTACCAATTTTTTTCTCGATTCTTCAAAATCGACTTTTCGGTTGAGCGTCTTCTCTTTCACGAAGAGAAAGCGCGACGGTTCCCATTGCTCACCTCAACGCAGGTCTATCTGGCCAAGTCCTTGGGTCGCATGAGAGGAGATTCTTTATCCACATCTCAGATGGGTAGTTGTTCACAGTACGCTGTAAGGTTGCGCCGGAGATGACCAGCCTGGACTGGCCAAGTGAGTCTTCTTTGGGCGCGCGCTTACACCAGTGGTTCTCATCATCTTGATATTTTCGGACAGCATTAGTAACCAGACTGTGTCACTTTCGATGCGTAACAATCACACACTTGCACTCAACAGGTAACACTGCGCGTCAAGTTTTTCTCGTTGCATTAAATCGAAAGTAAACAACATTACAAATACTGTGAGGGCTGTCCGTTTTTCCGCCGCCCGTACTATGTAGTGGGAAAGAATACGTCTAGATGTGCTCAAGGACAGGATATCTAATGGTCTATAAGGAGCGTGGGTTGTGTCATTAAGTCGTAAAGCGGAGAGATGTGCAAATGAAATCCTCAAGATCCGTCGTGCGTGATAATTACTTAATCATTCTCATGCCTGGGGCGCGGCAGTGCGCTTGGGCATTTCCATGTCCACCCCGCGGAAGCGCATGCCACGCTTCTTCTTGGACGAGGTGGTGCTGGTGCTAGTCGACGAAGTCTTCTTCTTCTTGTCATCGTCATCAGACTTGCTGGTGGTCGTGGCCTTGGAGGTGATGGTCGAGCTGGCAGGAGTGGTAGCGGGAGAAGTGACCACAGGGCTCGTAGTGGTGCTCACGACCAGAGTCGAGGGCGTCGAGCTGGGGGTCGAGCTTGGGGGCGGCGCATTGGTCTTGGTGGCCCAGTAAGCGTCCAGACGGCTCTCGACCTCTTGCTCGTTATTGTAGGGCTGGAGCTTGGCCATGTACTCGACCCGGGACTTGATCGCGTCCCAGCTAGATGCAGCAGAGTTCTCGTTCTTGGAGCGCCACTCCGACTGCATGGGGTCGGCGAAGGCTTCCTCGTCGTAGCCAAGGTCCTCGAGCTTGGTGACGTTGAAAGCAGCCATCATCTCATGGTCCTCGTGGATGAGGTTGTGGCAGTGGAACATGTACACACCGGGCCAGGGGGCGTAGTGAGCCTCGACGGTCACAGTCTCACCAGGTCCAACCCAGACGACATCCTTGAGACCCTGAGACTCGTACGGGAAGACCGTGTTGCTACGGCCGTTGACGCGCTTGATGACGCGGAAATCGACGAGGTGGATGTGGATTGGGTGGCTCCAGCCGCCGGAGCTATTCTCGAGCTCCCAAACCTCAACAGTACCCCGTTTAGGCTTGGCAAGGACGCGGTTGTTCACATCAGCAAAGATGACACCGTTGATACGCCAGTCGCTGCCGGTGCGGTGGAACAGGAAGTGCTGATCAACGCCGGTCTTGTCCTTGGGGAACGGCACGGCCCGGAGGGAGGAGGGGACTTCGGACTTGTCATTGACCGATTCGTCGCTGACTACAAAGCGCATAACCTTATCGGTGTGCAGATAGTCCACATCCGCGGCGAAGCCTCTGGTGTTGCGCATGGTGACATTCTCACCCTTATACTTGGAGAAGTCAATGACAATCTCGTAGCGCTCGGCCATGGAAATGTAGAGATCCTTGACCTTCTGGGGTCCCGTCAAGAGGCCGGCATCGGAGGAGATGACTTCGAATTCGACTCTGTTGGCTTTGAGATCTTCGAGGTAGAGGAAAAATGTACGGGAAATGGCGGCATCGAGAAGACGGAAACGGTACTTGCGGGGTTCGACCTTCAGATACGGCCAAGGCTGTCCGTTGACATGGATAACATCGCCGTATAAGCTAGTCTGTTCGTTGGCAGGCGAGTACAGAGTACCATCGGAATTGTATTGTTTCGCAGAGAGAATCAGAGGAATGTCGTAGACGCCGTAACCGCTGGGGAGGCCAAGAGAGTCTTCAGCGGAATCGTGGAGGATGTATGCGCCAGCCTGGCCAAAGTAGGCATTCTCGGCAGTGTGGTCGATGGCGTGGTCGTGGTACCAGAGAGTGCGGGCGTTCTGGTTATTGGGATAGTAGTAGTCTTTGTACTGGCCAGGGTTGAAGACATCTTCAGCCCAACCATCCCAAGGTGTGCGCTGAGCAAAAAAGGTTAGATGATAGTATTTCAAGGGTGGATGGTTCTAAACCTTACCGAAGGAGAGCCGTGAAGATGAACTGAGCTGGCCATCTTGGCGTGGTTGATGAAGCGAACGACTGCCTCTTCGCCACGCTCCATGAGGAAGGTTGGTCCAGGCGCTATGCCATCATATCCGACCAGGTTTGCAGGCTTGAGGTTGGGGTAAACTTGAGCGGTGAACTCCTTGACCTCAACCTCATAGTACCTGATCTTCTTTCCGGTCACTGGATTGATGATCGCCTGGTTGGGGCTGCTGAAAGTTAGCCACGAGAGCTCTTCATCAACGAACGGTATGAGCTGCGGATGTGGCTTACTATCGTTCCTCCTTAGGAGGGGGAATTGGTAGAGGAAACTCGTAGAGCCATGTGTATGCGGGACTTTCCCAGTCCTTGGCGAGGGTATCAGAAGCAAGAGCCAAGACAATGGCCAGAGACTGGCGAAGAGTGAGAGAGACCATGGCGGAGATGGAAGATGATATGCAGGGAAATTAGCCAAGAGAAACAGTGCAAGTGACAAGTGCTGGCCAAGACGGGTGGCGACGCCTTTGTAACTGTCAAATGCTTGGAAGGAGATAAGGGCGATGAGACTGGTGGAGAAGATTTCCGTTCGTAGGGACAGAACTCCAGTATTTATCAACTTTCATATTTCATCTCGATCAAAAATCTGAGTGGTCGAGGCGGCGAGACCATGGACCGAGTTACGGCGATCCAGTCCAATCTGACGAGACCCACGCCGGACCCCAGGTAGAAAGCCACAACGACAGCCTTAGCAATGGCGTGAGCCGGTGAAGGGTTGACCTCGAGCGAAATGTTTCCCGCACAGAGGTTATCGGCTAGCCCTTTGGAGCAAGAGCATCGCTAGTCTGAGCTGCTCTCTAAGGCGAGCAATATCCTTGGGATGGGTGGGCTGACGAGGGCGTACTGTAAAGCTCAATGGCCGACTTACGGTCCTTCAACATGGATCGCATCGTTCGGCGTCAGTGGGGCATGTCGTTGTCCATGCATACACTCCAAGGGCAGATTTCTGGACGGTGAAGAAAGTAGGCCAGTCTAGAAACACGCGGTAGATGCAACACTCTTGTCCGAGTATGCCGAGGGGGGTCCAGGCCATCGGCAACCCAGGATCTTGGTTCAGCAGAAGCAGCAGCCAGTCGATGGTCGAGCTAGTCTCTAGCACGTACGATCCGTTTGGTATCTCGAAGGTGACCCCATCTGCAAACTCGTGGATCGGAGATACGAATAAAGAAGTCAACGGGCGGCAGCTACAGCCATCCAGATGCAAGCCCTCAACGTCGGATTGCTTTTTGTGGTTGGGTCAGTGGGTAGGCCGTCAAGACGAGCGCCACTCTCGCGTAGCGCGCCATTTGATGCATGGAAATGTAAGAAAAGCTTTTGCAAGCCGGAGCCGGGCGCGGGAGGTTTACCTGACGCTGGTCAAGACGACATGAGAAGGCTGGGAGTTGACGCCAGGTGTCGAGGCCATAAAGAAAGAGCTAGTGCGGCTGTTCAGTCAGTCTAGGTCCCTTGTTCTTGAATCTGGTGTGGCTATTTCAGCCTCAGAACCTTCGACAATGCAAGATATCAATAGCGCGAGCCTCCTAAGTTGAAACGAGCTACTGAGCGAGCACCAAAAATGGCCCAGCGAGGCTATTCTGGGATCACGGTACCGGCTCGAGCGCCAGTATCGGTTGGCGCAGGATGCCTAAGAGCTGATGTGTATTCAACGGACAGTAGAGGAAGAAGCGACTCGGAGCTGACATGCAAGAGGTTCCAGGGTACTGGGTCGGTAGTCTGTCGAGTTGGAGGTGGATGGGATCATTGACAAATCGGACTCTGCGTTCCCCAGAGCACGGGAGCAGGGATGCTGCCCCGGACCAATGGCTTCGGAGTTGTGGAAGTGTGCATCGTATCTGGTCCAGCTGCAAGAACATGAGAGCTGAACAGCTCGAAGCAGGCATTCTGTGCGAACGAACGCTGCGGGCCTCCACACACACACAGGCCTAAAGTCGGTCTTTATCGACGCTTGAGCCGGCTCTGATCGGTTCCCGACTGGGCATCCTTCCCATCCGATGATGGAGGGGTACACCCTGGTTCATGCCAACCTCATGTCATCTATGACAGGCAGAACTTTCTCGTTGGTGTCATTAGGCTGACAATGCTTAGCATACGGTGTCAGCAGCCGACCTTAACAAGAGGTTGTCGAAGGCTGGTTGAGAGAGCCAGACGCAGTCTTGCGGCACGTGATGCGGTGTGGAAGCCGGAGGGTGGGCTGTCACTGGGACTGGAGAGCGTGGCCAGGCCGACAACTTGACGAGACTTATCGTACGCCACATTGACGCAGCTGATGGATGCTGCAGAATGCTTATTCCTTCGATGATGCGTCCATGATTCGACGACATGTCTTCTCGGCGAGCTTTTCGTCCGACTTCTGCGCAGAGAAGAAGCTTCGCATCGATATCGGATGGATCGTTGAAGTTCGGACAATGCACATCGTCTGGACTTTGAAGGTCTAGTAGTCTGATCTCAGGGGTAAACTGGAGGATACGTGGAGGCAGTGTCCATGTTTCGGCCGGAAATGGAAAAGATGAGAGGTGGGACAAAGCGTTGAATTCGCCGGAATTGGCGATGAGGTGAGAAAGAACGGGACTTGGAGGAGGAGGGAAAAAGGCTGGGTGGGTGGGAAAGTCGAAAGAAAGACAAGCAGTCAGTAAACCTGGGCGACACCTTCCCCAAGTTTTCGGTTCCTGGAGCCCCATAATTTAGTGCCAAGCCGCTACCGTCGCTAAACCTTATTAGCGCTTCAGCCCGGACCAAGATGAAGCTTAATTATCTCGAGTTTGATTGGTCAAGCTCTCGTGATCGGGGCTTCAGGGTCCACCTTAGTCAGGCGCTCGTTGTCCACCTCCGTTTCCCATCACCGCCGCTAAACGTCGAAAACCTCCGAGTAAACTTAACCACAACACATTCTCTGGCCGTGTCCTTCGGCGCTTTGTGCTCGTATACCCCAGGCTGCCACACCCTATCGACTTGCCAGCGAATCATCCACCCGGCAGTCGTGGGATCAGGACTCCAGCTACCCAGACTGCCGGGTCGTGAACAAAGAGGCCACACGAGCGGTTCCTTGTCCTTGTCCTTGTCCTCTTCGAAGCCGCATCCTCAAGCCCAAGCTGATGACCATGTCTCGAAGCCCCCAACGTTTCTCGTTTCACGCCAGACGTTGCGTACCGTATACGATGAAAAGCCTGTTCGGATGATTGTCAAAGGATTCGCACGCGACGCGCTCTCGACTTCTTTACTGAGTCTTTGTCGTTTGGACCTTACTGTTGAACGGCTGCCCACCAACCTCCCATGCCAAGACCCTTAACTGGCTGAAGGTTGTCACAGTTATTCTTCGCCGTCGAAGGAAAAACTGTCTGGTGGCGGTAGACGGTTTTCTCGTGGCGTTTCCCTGTCGAGTGGCAGCCTCAGCTTCTGCAGACCCTCATCTCCCCATCCTGTGATCTACCAGCTATCCAGCCATCCGGCCAAGAAATCATGACCATCCAACCGGAATCCTCATCTCCGCACAACTCGGTGTAAGATTTGTGGAGATCTGCATAGGACTACTGACCTGAAGTCGTATCTCTAGTTCCTCGTGCATGGACCGGCATACGGCCAGGCCAGTCTGCAGAATCGTGGCCTCGCCGGCCTCTTCGGGGTTGGCGATCCTAGTCTTTCTTGCATACTGCATATTCATCATAGCTCGTGCATGTATGTGCATTGCCACATGCACAAGTGGCTTCCGCACCATCCGTCTATTCTGGATTTATCCTCTCGTTTCGGATCAGCTCGTCTAGCCTCATGGGGTTTTCAAAGGAGTCACCACTCGGGTGCTAGTTCGCTACGAAGCCACGTTCTAGACCTTTCGTGTTTTAGCTGCCAAGCTTCACGGTCCCCTCGAATCCATCTCGGGTGTTGAGAGTATGGGAACTACTGCGGGGAGACACGATCTCGGCCGACTCTTCAGAAATAGTTCATAAGTGCCGGGCTTCATCGCGATATCTCGATCAGAATGAAGTTATCCACCACTCTCATCTCTCACAGTCTGATATCTGGCAAACTGGTCTAGCCGACTCAGACATACCCTCATCATGTATTCGGCAAAGTCAATCTTCTACGCGGCCTTGAGTGCTTCGGTCTCTTTCACATCTGTACAAGCACAGGTTGCAGACTATCCCTTCGACATTAACGGAGCGTTCGAAGGGTAAGCATACGTCCCTCCAGTCATATGACAGTATTTGGTGAACTTCAGACTGACATGGAAACTGCAGTGCTTCTGCCAGCACAACAGAATTCAACACCGGCGGCACCTTCAGGTGCAATGGCCACGCCATTACTGTGCCGAAGAATCTTCAAGTCACATTCCCAGCGGCCTTCATCCCTTTCAAGGAATTTGTGGGCAGCAGTGGCGGCTACACTGGCTACAACTGCGAGGTCACAGGCAATGTCGTCAACGGGGTTCCCGTTGCTGCTCAGGTCTCAATCGCCCAATCGCTTCTGAATGGTGCCTCTGGTTTCGTTGATAGCGTGAACACTGATGGCCGGATCAAGTTGACGGACGGAAGCACCATCCGCATCAACGACCCTAACGCCATCTACTCCGTCGGATACACTTCCCAGCCTTTCTTCACTGCAGACGACGCCAATCCAAGCATCAGCTCTTTCTCTGGCTTTCCCATGTGCGTTCCGCGTAGCGCCACCGATGCTCTCTGCCCTCAGTCCAACAGACCAGATGTCACTCCTGGCGTTAAACAAGGACTTTTGTAAGTCTCGAAGCTCACTTTTATCCGAAACTTTCTAACAATTATTTTTCAGCAAAGCCCCTGATGCCCTGGTCATGGCTCCTATTGTTGCTGGCGATTTCGTTGAGTACTCTGGTGTTCAGTCCGGTAGCGAGATCATCGTCTACAACCTTGTCGTGAGCAACGTCCAGATTACCACCTCGGGCGCCCCGACGTACATCCGCATGGAGGATGCCAACATTGGCGTTTGGACCGCCGACACAGTCAACCAGGAAATCGCACAGACCAGAGTCAGTTCCCATGCCGCTGTCTCCGCATCATGAAATGCCCGTGTAGCTAACACGACACAGTTCGTCGGCTATACATCTGACTCTGCCGCAAATGTCAACCCCATCAAGATCTACGCCATTGAGTACGACCCGTGCACTGGCGAGGCCGTCGATCGTGAGATTGCGGGTGTGAGCGTGCCCAGCACCGAGGTCCGCAACAAGTTTGAGTACCGCATCAAGGCGACCCAAAACGACAACTACGCCCGCGAGTACCGCGTCGTCGCCGGCACCGGCACCGTGAAGACGAAGAACGGTATTATGGCCGGCCAATATGTCATGCCTGTCTCGGAATGGATCCAGCCCGAAGACTCCGTCCCCGGTCGCCCTCCCAGCCCACATGACTTCCGCAGCTACGCCTTCTTGACCAAGGGGCTGGGTCGTGATGCCGAGGGTAACCTCTGGGGCCCGCTGAACCCCTTCCCCCAGACTGGTGCTACCCTGTACGACAACTCCAAGTGCCCTCCCGCTACCACCCCTACCACTGGCACTGGCACTGGAACAGGTACTGGAACCGGCACAAGCACCACCCCTGTCACCGCTGCCAGCAGCTCGGCGGCGGCCGTCAAGTACAAGGATGTCGTGACGATGCCCACCTACAACTGGGTCTCATCCCAGAGCGGCACGCTCACCGTCGGCTGCCAGTCCAACAGCACCGACGATGCCGCGGTCGCGATGAAGCTGAGCTACACCAACAAGGACGGCACCACCACCGGCCTCGCCATGACCTCCGGTGGCAAAGGTCTCTGGAACTTCAATAGTAACAAGATCAAGCAGCCCACAACTGGAACGGTCTTTTGCAGGAGCGGTCTTGGCGGCCAGGTAGCGCGCTGAAGTGTTTGTCAGGAAAAATTGCTGTTGATCTATTAGTTGGATACCTTTGGCGTTTCGTTTGGGATTTCGGTGCGCGATACCTTTTAGATTTAGATGACCTGTTAATGAATGATGAACACTATTGCAATAAATTTCCCATATCACCGTGTTCATACTTTGCTAGATGAGGATAGTCAACGCCGAAAGCTTACGTGCCAAGACAATTCTATAAGTCATGAGTAATCACTACGACTAGAGGAGTGTCTCGGTGATTGACAATGTCAGCATAGGGCCCGGGGCTCGGACGAATCGTCATATTCTAAATTCACCTAGAGTCCCCGCGAGTTTGAGAAGAGGAAAGGATAGCCGACTAAGTCCATCCTTAGCGTTGCGCTTTCGAGTCATTTTTGACGAAAGCTTAGTGTTTTGGTGGAGATGAGGGGGGGAACGTTGAACTTTTGGGCGCTAGAGATGGACGAGCTAACCCGGATACTCATTGGCTGCTCCGAAGACGTGCGGCTGATGGTGGAAGGGTTCTGTACATAGTACCTACCGTAGGTGATCGAAGTACTACGTCTCTCTATTTCGGGACAGGGGTTCAGTTTTGCTTGCCAAGGCCTTGCCATCTCTCATCCCCTGGCAAGACCTTCCCTCAGAGCAAGGCAGATAACCAGGCCGCCATCCGTCCGGGGAATCCAGCCTCCCCCGTCATCATATCTAAGTGTTATTCATTCAGTCCATGGCAATTAAGTTTTGGCTCAGACTTTGCGAAGCAAGAATCTCATGAATAAGTTCTAGTATCTCTAAGTTCTGCTACTTGACAATGGTCTTGTTCTCTATCTGTCACTCCAAGAGATCAAGACTCATCTTTGTCGCCTATAGGTGTGAGTCGAAACGGCTTCATCTCTTCATCCATGTCTTCAAGTCTTCCTTATCGAGGTCTTCGCCAAACACAGAATCGCTCTTCTTGAAATCATGATGCGGTCCAGGATGAATTTTTTCGCGACTGAAATAACATTTGAAATAAAGCTTGAAGTCCATACAAACCTGACAGGACCATGCTGTGCCGATGATGGGCTATGTGATGTAAGGCATTAGTAAGGAGTTGAATTCGGCACCCAGGTTAGACAGCTCATAGTGCAAGACTCAGCAAACAACATACCGATCGACAACAAATGCAAGCTGGTTTGTTGTGTACATAGCCCGTCCGTAGAGAAGATGATTCCGTGAATAATTTTGATGTTTCCTCCGCTGAGGCCGATTTGGCTAAAGGCCCAATAACATTTTCTCCACTGTTGTGGAAAATAGCGATTTGCAACGGAGTCCAGCTCTGAAGTTCATCTCCCGGAACCGATACCGTGTTATCGGCGCCGCGCTCGAGAAGGTATTTAATAATATCTGTTTGACCCTGAGAAGACATTTTACCGAGTTTTGCTCCTGATGTCAGACCTCGAGCAGCCCAGCATAACGCCGTCCAGCCATCATTATCGGGTTGGTCGATATCAAGCTTGATTTTGTCAGATGTGAGAATATCGCTGACGGTCTTAACATCTCCGCTTTGAGCTGCCCAGTGTAGAACAGTGCGACCGGTCTTGTCTTTGGATTCCAAAGGCAAGACCCTCAATCGAGGCTGCTGGGAAATGCGCTCGTATCTGCGGTATGAGAAGACGGCTGCGAAGTGAATTGGCAAACGGCCCATCGGATCAGGGATATTCGAGTGACCTCTAGACATGTCTAAGATAAGCGACCAAGGTTCGTCAGATTGTAGCAGGCAAGCTATGTTAACCGCCGTGCCAAAGAATCCGCATTGTGCATTGATATCTGCTCTGGCCTCTCCTACGAGATGTTGTATCATGCCGCATATGACGCCCTTATCCGCCTTGGATAGGCATGCGGCCTGCAAGGCACTGCCGAACAAACCTTTGGAGAGAAAACTTGCGCTTGCGCCGCACTCCCGAGTAAGAAATCTGACCATTGCCAAATTGCCGTCGTAACATGCCTTGTTCAAGGCCGAACCGTATCGAGAGTTGTCTGAATTGACGTTGGCTATGTCTTTGCGAGCGAGATACCTGATAGCTTCCTTGTCTTCTTCTCTACTGAGGTCTGCTCTTTGGATAACATTGATAAGCGGTGTGCAGCACTTCTGGGGGCATGGATCTGTGGGCGAGGCCCCGTCTTTGATGAGCCTCTTGATAAATTCATATTGGGGCGTTCTGTGCTGGGTGAAATATAGCAAAGCCGTTCCTCCATGAGTGCCTTTAAAGTCGAGATCGTTATCAAATCGGTGGAAGTCATTCTTCGAGGTTTCAAAGGGCTCAGCGATGTAACTAGCGATGTGACCAGGGTCGTGGCCAGTAACGTGACCAGGAATGAGAGGGACATCCGCTGCGCCAACATGCAAGCTGGCGCCACCTCCAGGTGGTTGGGATCTGGAGTTTTCTCCG